GGAGTATAGCCAGAGTGCTCCTTAGAAACAATAAATCTCAAGTACTTTGGATATGTTATCAGAAGGGAACAATTCATGGAAAGGGACATCATGCTTGGTAATGTAATTTGTCAACAAAAACAAGAACTATTTCAATGAAATGGACTGACATAGAGGCTACAACAATAGCCTCAAGCATAAGAATGATTGTGAGGATGGCACAGGATTGTACAGTGGTTTGTTCTGTTGTGCACAGTGTCACTAAGTTGGATCTGACTCCATGATACCTAACAACTATCTAATTAGTCATTCTTCCTCTCTTTTTGTCTATACATTCTTTATCGCTACATTTTATTTTCCTTACTTTATTATTATTATTTTTTAGATGTGCTTTCTTTTTATCATTGGGATATCTTTACCTATTCTCCCACTTGACCTGAGTCATCTACTTGGGGGGGTGGGGTGGGGCTAAGCAACTCATTTTCCCTGTGAAGAACTTCAGGGTCCTTAGGGTACTGAGAAAACTTCAGGGATATTGTTAAATTAACGGATCAATTACCTCACCCTCAATTTCTTTGGGACTATTTCTATGTTATCGATCCAAGAGGCAGTGTTTCAAATTGGAAGTTTACATGGTTCTAGGAAGGAAGTCCACTGATCCCCTTTGAGAAACACTGGCTCAATATGGGCTGTGGGTCCATCTCACTCAGTCAATTTGCTATATAATGTTAACATATAATCTCTCTAAATTACAAAATCACTCATCCTTATAAAACAGAGATTCAAAAATACTTATTACTTTTTTTATTTTTAAGGTAAAGATGATAACACTTCTAAAGGCAGAGAAATGGGAGGTGCCCATTAAGTACATTTTCTTTTCTTGTTGTATTAGTATGCAGCAAATATGCTGTTGTTGTTAAGAGCTATTGAGTCAGTTCTGACACATAGGGACCCTGCATAGAATTTCTGAAGAGCTGCTGTATTTTTGAACTGCTGATCTTTCAGTTATCAGTTCAGTGCTTATCCTACAGTGTCACACTAGGAATAGTGTAACTATTTTATAGATCTCATTCTAAAATAACCAGTGAAGGGTCTACCACTAATAGCAATGCTTCACAAGTGACAAAAATACATGAATGGAGGCATAATCATTCTTTTATTTTGACTAGTAACTGGAAGGTAGCCAGCAAGGACATGAATAATTCACTCATGTAACAAGTATTTGTATGTGTAGCTACTGTTCTGGATGCAGGAAGGAGCAGATCAGGAGCAAATATCCACTGGCATGAAACTGAAACCCATTTCTATAGGGAGGAGAAAACACTAAAGAAAATTATAAAGAAAACTGTACCATGTGTTAAAATGTGGTAAAGAGACATGGCAATGTGAAGAACTCCACGCTTCAGTCATCCCACAAAAATACCAAGATAAAATGAGCAAAAATTTTAGACTCAATGGTATCAAAAGTGAAAAGGTTACAACAATTAAGCAAATGTTGAATCTTGAAAAAACAACATGTAATATGAGACAAGCTGTGATTTCTACTCACTTGTACCCCACCCTCTCCTCTTCTTAGCATGGACTTTTCAAAGCAGTTGTCCATGGTCACAGTAGAGAGCCTTTGAATGTCTTTATAGTTTTAGGTTTTACTTTTATGTCTGTGATCCATCTTCAGTTTGTTTATGTGTTGGGAGTCGATATAGATGTTGTTTCATTTTTTTTGCAAATGGGTATCTCAATTCTGTATCATTGGTCTATGTGTTTGTGATTATACCAGTACCCAGCTGTTTTCAATACTATGGCTGTGTAATAGGCTTTGAGACTGGGATATGAGAAGTTCAAATCAGAGCATTGATTTTAGGGGAGGGTCCTTCTTTGTTGGAAATCCTTGGAGTTCCTTGGCTTTTTTTTTTTTGGCATTTCTTGGCATTGCTTGGTGTCTGTCTTCCTACTCTGTGACTATGTCTATGTCTATCTGCCTGTTCATAAGCACCGCTTAGAACTCATTCTGTTGTTGTGGTTATTAAATGCATTGAGTCAGTTCCGACTCAAAGTGACCCTGTATAGTGTTTCTGAGGAGCAGTTGGTGGGTTTGAACTGCTGACTTTGAGGTTAGCGGCCAGTGCTTATCCTATAGCACTAAACAGGACTCCATATATTTTTTGGAGGTGGAGGGAAGACAAAATTCAATCTATAATACAATGAAACCTAGTATAGCCTTGCACATCTTGACCATTTTTAATAGATATAAGCAACCCTTATGGCTTAATTGAAGCCTTGGTAGTACAGTGGTTAAAGTGCTTGTCTGCTACCTGAAAGTTCAGCTATTTGAACCCCAGCCACACTGCGGGAGAAAGATGTGGCCCTCTGCTTCTGTGAAGATTTATAGCCTTGGAAACCCTATGGGACAGTCCTACTCTGCTCTATAGGCTTGCTATAAACTGGAATTGAATTGATGGCAGTCGTAGGTTTTCCTTGTGTGTGTGTCTCAATGGTTAGGTGCTTAGCTGCAGATTGAAAGGTCAGTGGGTGGAGCCTACCAGTGGCTCTTTGGAAGAAAGACCCGCTTATCAGTTCCTGTAAAGATTATAACCTAGGACACCCTACAGGGCAATACTATTCCGTCCTATAGACTTACTATGAGTTACAATCAACTACACAGCAATGGGATTCTGGCAGCACAGATATGCTTGTATTGGTTTCCAAATAACAGAGGCAATTCTCTAAAAAAGGGAATTTGAACTATAGGAAATTATATTATCCAAGATCAAAAATCTTATTTAACACAAAGTCTATTTAAACAATTCCTGAAATAAATAATTTATTGTAGATGCAGTATTTTAGGCACTTAATGATATATGAGGCACATATTTTGGAGATGGGATTTTTGGGGCTCTCATATTTCTCAAAACCTATACTGTTACAGTATTTTCTTATTAAGTGATAGGTGTTTTGAGCATACAATACATTGATTAAGTGTCCTTTCACAAAAGGAAATTGTCATATCTCAGTTCTTCATCTGCAGATCCTCCATATTCTTTCCAGGTGTCTTTTCAGAGCTCTTTTCACATCCTTATTCCTCAATGTATAAATGAAGGGATTGAGGGTGGGTGTGATTATGGAATAGAATAGGGATATAAACTTGCCTTGCTCTTGGGAGTAACTGGAAGGGGGCTGCAGATACATGTACATGGCAGGTAGGTAAAAGAGGGAGACCACCACCAGGTGTGAAGAACATGTCCCAAAGGCCTTGTGTCGTCCCTTTGAGGATTGGATCCTGAGCACTGCTCGAGCAATGAAGCCATAGGAGAGAAGAATAAGAGCTAGGGGGACTACCACAAAGAAGGCCACCAACACAGCCAATGTTGCATCGTTCACAGCTGTGTCAGCACATGAAAGCTTAATCATGGCTGGCACCTCACAGAAGAAGTTGTTTAGCACTTGTTCCCCACAGAAAGGCAGCTGCACTGTCAAGACCACCTGAACTAGGGAATTGCCAAAGCCACTGATCCAGGCCACTGCCACAAGCTGCTGGCAGAGAGGGCGACGCATGATAACAGCATATCGGAGGGGCTCGCAGATGGCCACATACCTGTCCAAGGCCATGGAAGCCAATACAATGCACTCAGTACAACCCAGCCAATGGAAAATAGCATACTGAACTGTGCAGCCACCATAGCTTATGGTCTTTCTTGAACTGCCCATGTTGAACAGCATCTGTGGAACTGTGGTGGTGGTATAGCAGAGATCCAGGAAGGACAGGTGGCTCAGGAAGATGTACATTGGACTCTGGAGCTGAGGATCTATCCGAGACACCACAATGATTGCAATGTTGCCCAACACAGCCAGAATGTAAGACACTAGAAGGACGACAAAAAGAGGAAGTTCCAGCCATGGCCTGTCAGAGACCCCTAGCAAGATGAAGTTCTTAGGGGAATCCTCCAAGAAACTATGGTTACCACTTCTCATGCTGATGTATTATCTGGCATCTGTAATGAATTGGAAATATTGGAATGAAGCAAAACTGAGAGGAGGAATTAATGTTCCTCATTCCTGCTTCCATCCTTTGTAATTAAGGTTGAACTGTATCTGATCTTCTTTACCTTGTAGAGACACATGAATAGAACAGTCAGACCAGGGGCCAGGGCAGCAGCATCTATGTCCTTTCTTTATCTTCTATTCTGTGACCTTGATTATACCATTTAATATTTCTGAACCCCAATTTCTGCATCTGTGAAATAAGGAGAAAATTCCTACTTTAAATGTGGAACTTGGGGAAGATAAAGTGACATTACTTATATAATAGAAGAATCATTATCACAATTATGACACATTTCTTCCAATTTAGTTAAAGCTGATAATGTTCCCATCATTAGGAAGCTTGACTTCCCCCTAAATACATACGGGAAGTAATTCTTTACTTTCTTCTTGTTATTGTTGTTAAGTACCATCAAGTTGGCTCTAATTTATAGCAACTTTTTATAAGGCTTCCAAGGCTGTAAATCTTTATGGAAGTAAAAAGCTTTATCTTTCTCCCATAGAGCAGCTGGTGGCTTCTAACATCTCACCTTGTGGTTTGCAGTTCAGTGCTAATCCTACAGAGCTACAGATGGTGTGGCACTATAGGATCAGCACTGGACTGAAAACCACAAGGTCAACAGTTCAAACCCACCAGCTACTCCTCATATATAGTGTCGTTATGAGTTGGAACTGAGTTGATGGCACTTAACAACAAAACAACATATATGGAATTCTAGTGTGGTACTGTGGATTAGCACTGGACTGTGAACCACAAGATCAGTAATTCAAACCCAGCTGCTCCTGGGAAATCCTATATAGGGTCGCTATGAGTTAGAATCAACTCTATGGCACTTAACAACAATGTTTATGTTTTTTATATTGTTTATCCTATTCAGGAAGTTAAACCAAAAGAACTTTATATTTTAAAGATTAGTATGGATGAGAAAATATATATACAAATTTCAAATTAATTAAAAGGAATTCTTAAGAACTTAACATGTTTTTAAATGACTCTGTATTATACATAGGGAAAAGTTTCCATAATGAAAATGAAAATAAAATGATAAATGAAAATGAAGATAAAATATCTCTGCTTTATGAGCAAGAACTATAAATATTTTTTAAAGTTTTTAAAGTACTTATTGTTTTACAAGGACAGGAAAATTTCCATGACAGTGTGAGTATGGGAAAAAAATTCATGAGGCTTCTCTTAGTCATTAACTGGACTTAACAGAATTTAAAACAAAAACAATTGTGTGCATAAAGGGAGAAGAGCAAGAGCAGAATGTGGAACCCTATACAGAGAAGCAGCGACACCAGAGATGGAAGCAGAGGTGATGATGTGGAGAGTTAGAGCAGCTGAGGACTCCAGACTCATGGAAAGAGAAAGGTTGCATGCTGGTGTCCAGGAAGCAGACTTTCAGAATGTGCCCTTTGGTTCTGCATCCAAACAAACAAACACAAACAACACAGAGGGAATAGCAGCAAATAATGTTGAATGATGATGTACGGAGAGGATTGTAATCATTGCAATGAAATGAAATACAATAGGATGAGTGTAAAACCAATGTTCTCCCATGTAAACTATCACTCAATTTGCAATAAAAACAATAAAACAATTGTGTGAATGAGAAAAAAAAAATGTACAATTTCTACCATTCATGAATAGGATTTTAAAGGGTTTTACATAATTTTCAATATACTCATTATATCAATATCTTCAGTGGTTAGGCACTGAACACCTTATGAATAACAACAGAACACTGTTTGATATAATGCTGGAAGATGAGTCCCTCATGCTTGAATGCATTTAAAGTACAACTGAAAAAAATCATAAAAAAATGAAATGGAATGCATAAAGATGGATATATTAGGCATTATTGAACTGAAAGGAACAGATATTGACCATTTTTAATCGGGCAATTATATGGTTTACTATGCCAGGAGCTAAAAACTGAAGAGCATTTCACAATGTATCTTGAAATACAATGCTGTCTGTGATAGAATAATGTCAGTACAACTAGAGGAAAGACTAGTGCATATGACTTATTAGAATTACACACTAATCACTAAAGTCAATGATGACGACATTGAAGAATTCTGTCAACTGTTGATTATAATGTGACAGTTGGAAACAAAGAGAAAGGAACAGTATTTTCTTCAGCTTCACCCTGAACTTGCATGTGAATAATTGATAGTGTGTTCCATAGTCTGCCCCTGGCCTTGTTTGGCTGATGATATATAGCTTTTCGGCTGTCTCTTTCCACAGGTGCAGTCAATTTGATTTCTATGTATTCCATCTAGTGAGGTCTATGTGTATAGTCATCTTTTGTGTTGTTAAAAAAAAGTATTTGCAATGAAATCACTATTCTTGCAAAATTCTATCATGCGATCTCCCCCATTGTTTCCATTTCCAATGCCATATTTTCCAACTATTGATCCTTCTTTGTTGTTTCCAACCTTTGCATTCCATTCACGAGTAGTTATCAATATATTTTGATTACATGTTAGATCAATTTCAGATGGAAGAAGTTGGTAGAATTCTTCAATTTCATTGTCATTGGCTTTTGTGGTTGTTGCACAAATCTGAATAATAGTGGTATTAACTAGTCTTCCTTTAGACTTATGGGTACTATCCTATCCTATCCCAGACAGCAATATACTGATGTACTTTTTTTGATGATGAATGCAGTGCCATTCCTCTTTAATTTGTCATTCCCAGCATAGTAAACCATGTGATTGTCAGATTAAAAATGGTCAATACTAGTCCATTTCACCTTACTGATGCCAGGAAAGTGATGCTCATATGTTCCATTTCATTTTTAACAGCTTATCAGTTTTTCTAGATTCATACTTCATATATTCCATGGTTTGATTATCAATGAATTTTTACAGCTGTTTCTCTTCATTTTTAGTTGTGCCCCATCAGCAAATAAATTTCCCGAAGTCTTTATTGTATTTGCATTAACATGGTTAACTCTGTTTTGAAGAGGCAGTTCTTCCCTAGTCATATTTTGAGTGCCTTCCAACCTGAGGGACTCATTTTATGCCACTGTATTTGATACGATTCTCTTGCTCTTCATCATGTTTCAATACTCAATATTCTGGTGCTATCTGACAGTGTCCCACTGTTATCATAAGGTTCTCAGTGACTAAATATTTGGAAGTAGTCTGTCTCTCCTTCTTTCTAGTCTATCTTAGCCTGGATGCCCTGCTGAAACTACCATGAGTGATCTTGCTGGTATATAAAATACCAGTCGTATAGCTTCCAGAATCACAGCAATATGCAAGCCACCACAATATGACAAATTGACAGACAAGTGGTAGGATTTAGTTATGGAAGATTACAAAAAACTGAACATAAAATTTTCACCACTTGAAGAAAGGTCTTGATTGTCATAAAACATGTATTTCTTAGAGTTGTCTACTACTCAGATTTCCTATGTTGTTAATCCATGCAAGTCAATTTCTGCTCATAGAACCAGTGGGAAAGAGTAGAACTGTCACATAGTGGTTTGGTGGCTGTGATCTTTATGGGAACAGATCACCAGATTTTTCTCTCACAGAGCTTGAACACATTTAACCTGAATTTACAGATCATCTCATGAACAGATTTGAAGCATTAGACACTAATGACCAAAGACCAGAATAGTTGTGGGATGACATCAAGTGCATCATATAGGAAGAAGGCAAAAAGTCATAAAAAAAAGACAGGAAAGAAAGAAAAGGCCAAAATGAATGTCAGAAGAGACTCTAAAACATGCTCTTGAGTATACAGATGTTAAATAAAATGTCAGAAATGAGGAAGTAAAAGCACTGAACAGAAAGTTTCAATGGCTAGCTCAAGAAGACAAAGTCAAGTGTTGTAAAGAAATGTGCAAAGACTTGGCATTTGGAAACTGAAAGGGAAGAACATGCTCAGCATCTCTTATGCAGTGAGAACTGAAGAAAAAATACAAACCTCAACTTTCAGGTTTGAAGGAGTTTATGGAAAACATATTGAATGAAGCAGAAAACTTCAAAAGACATGGAAACTATACACAGTCATTTTACCAAAAAGACATTGTCGATATTCGACTATTGAAAGCAGCAGCATATCAGCAAGAATTGATGGTACTGAAGGGAGAAGTCCAAGCTATACTGAAGGTATTGGCAAAAAGCAAGTCCCCAGGAATTGATGGAATACAAATTGAAATATTTCAACAAACTGATGTATCATTGGAGGTGCTCACTCATCTATGCCAAAAAGTTTGGAAGGGTTATACCTGGCCAAATAATTGAAAGAGGTCCATATTTGTGCCCCAGTCCAAAAAAGGTGACGCAACGGAATGTGGAAATCACTGAACAATATCATTAATATCACATGCAAGTAAAATTTTGCTGAAGATAATTTTAAAAACTACTGCAACAGTACATTGACTGGGAACTGCCAGAAACTCAAGCTAGATTCAGTAGAGGACATGGAACTAGGGAATCATTGCTGATGTCAGATGAATCTTGGCTGACAGCAGAAAATGCCAGGAACATGTTTACTTGGGCTTTGTTGACTAAGCAAAAGTTTTTGACTTGATGTTGACAAACTTTGAATAACATTGCAAAGAATGGGTATTCCAGAACACTTGATTGTGCTCCTGAGGAACCTGCACGTAGATCAAGAGGCAGTCATTTGTACACAACAAGGGGATATTGAGTGCATAAAATTCAGAAAAG